TAAAAATGGGCTTTTAGTAGAGAAGAAGATAATCCTGTGTGCTTTTTTCCCTCTTTATTTTTAGGGGTTGGAAAGACTACTTTGATCCAGAAAGTCACTCAAGCTCTAAAATCCTCGGGCATTCCCATTGATGGATTTTACACAGAGGAAGTTAGAGAAGGTGGCAGGAGAACAGGATTTGATGTTGTCACTTTGTCTGGAAAACGAGGACCTTTATCTAGAGTCAGGTACTGAGATTTTAATAACTGCAAGTGGCTTATTGTTTTATGCTTCTGCTCCAGTCTGTCGGCATGTTAAATGCTCCTTCAGAAGGTGATTTCCAGCACACATATGGCTTTCATGGTCAGGTTCTTTGTTCGGTTCTTGTGTCCTGGCTGATACCTATATTATGTATGTAGACAGTGTCTCTGTTGCGTAGTGAAATATTGAAAATGTGCTAGGGAAGGGTGTTCTCTCTTACTGCCTATTTTATACCAGATAGAGAGGAAGCACTGCCGACCCTTTTATTGTGAGGCCAAGTCTCTTTGGGATACAGTAAGTAGCTTATTGTAGGCAGGGAGGAAGATTTTTTGTTTCCACCAGCTGATTTATGGAGACAGAAGTGGAAAATAAAAGGGAAATTGCATATAACATTGTTTTGAAGAGCCACTGACTGGCTCACAAAACCCACATGTGAATTTTAAGAAAAAGAGGGGTTTGGAGCCTCACTAAGAGGGGGACCCTCTGAAGTGCAGTCTCTCCCGATTCACTAGACTTAGCTTTTCACGTGTTGTGCAAAACTTAGTCTAGGTCCAGGTGTGACGTTAGCACCTCATTCAGACATAGTTGATCTGACTAAATAATTTGCATACTGCTAATAAAGGAGGTTCACCTAGGATAGTGTGATGCAGCACATGCAAAATGAGTATTTTTCCAAGATTGTTTAAGGGTTTTGCAGCCCATACTGAGAATTGGGGTACTGCTGTGATGCTGTCTGTAGCGTCGCATTACCAAACTCAAGGATCTGAACTGCAGGCATGTATTTTGATTTCAGTGTAAATACATCTGCTGGCTTTTAGATCCCATTGTCCTTCTGTACACTATTCAAATTTGAGCGTACGTAGTTGTGAAGGTAGCTTATGGTATATTTATTATCTGAAAGTATGCTACCTACAATATGACTTAATGGATGGTTTACAGAGTTTCTTTCCTTTTCTTAGAAGAATTAAGGGGATTTGACTTATTAGGATAACTTCTCATAAATCCACTTGAAATTACTGCAGTGAGTTCTCATTAAACTCGTTACTTAGAAGGAATTGTGTATCTCTTTTTTCAAATCCAGTTCTGATTCTTCTACTTCAAGACGTGAATATCGGGTCGGACAGTATGTTGTAGACCTTGTTTCATTTGAGCAGTTGGTTCTACCTATGCTGAGAAATGTGAGTATTCTGTGAAAGCTGCTGAAAAATGGATGCTTTATGATAATGAGTGTTATTGGAAGGCCCTTCTAGAGCACTAGTTTTTGATATTAATAAATGGCCTGTTTCTTGGGTATCGCTGATTCTCACTGACTTTGGGATCAGGAAGCTGCAGTGGCAAATCTTGCTTGTTCTCTTGTGCTTACTGTGGTGGTGGAGAGATTGCAGTCCCCTCTCATTCTTGATCTGACATCGTCCTGAGAGCAGGACCTCCTTAGCCTGAGAGATAGCTGATAGGAAGTTTCTTCCTGTGTCACTGTCTTGCATATTGGAAAGCAAACAAAATGTATGAGTGGCTTACCATGCAGAACTGAGTGGAGTCACTGGGTCGCTCCAAGAAAAAGGCTTTTGCTGCTGCTCCTCTTCTTTACAGCCTTTTTTTTCCCCCTTGCTCTGGTTCCCATCTTCTTCCAGTAGAAGCATTTGTTTCTTCAATCCAGTGGTTATTTTTGATTACCTGTGTAAGTACCTGCAGGCTGCTAGGTTTTAACTGATAATAGCAGCCTGATAATTTGGGATTTAGCCTGCTGCACAAGGAGCACTCTGTGTGGAAAGTCTTGTCACAATCAGTCTTTTTCTTGTCCTCCTAACATTCTGTTACTACCTTTTTCCTTCTCCTTCCTCCCTCTAACTCCAACCCTTCCCCTCTCCAAAATTGAACAAGAACACATCTGATTTTGGCAATAACGTATCACAAACAGTGTGCAGCAGCTGCTGAACTGTACTACTAAAAAAGTCCTATTGTGATTTTTCTACACTGCCAAAGCTCAAGGGGCCAAGGAAGAAGGGACTTCTTAATGAACTTCGAAAGAACAAAAAACCAAAGAGGTGCAAGGAGCAAAAATGAGATTGAGGGTCTGATTCTTGTTTTTGTCAAGGAACATTAAAGTCTGAGAGTAGGGAAGCAAAGATGTTGGTGGCAAGGGAGAAAGGAAGTATGAATAAAAAGGGACAATTTTTATATGTTTAATGTCACTGTAACTTGATTTACTATGTTAGTAAATAGAAGGATAGTTTAATAAAAAAGACTTCATTAAGCCAGCGCTGTACTCGGAATCCTTTTACTGCTGCATTAATGTGAACTCCAGGAGAGATCTTTCTCGAAGGGTGTTAGCAGTGTTGAATTTTTCTGGTTGTTATATAGCTTTCTGCAAGTACAAGAGCGTGAGGAGAAGAAGAAAAGGGGCAGCAGGGTCAGACAGTGCATGACCCTGTTCTCATTGGAAGCGCTGGTAATCAGTTTTGTGGGAATGTGGTCATGCATGTAGGCGGCACAAAATGGGAGAGGAGGAGAGTGCAGAAGATCATAGAACTGAAACAAGAAGAGACAAATGAAGAATGAGGGCAGGAGAGTCATAGGTATGGTCTGGTTTGATCAGAGAGCAGCATGGAGTGGGCATGTGCCCATTTAGTCTTGAGGGCAGCTTCAGCTCTTAAGGCTTGGATCTCGTTCACTCCAGAGAGAACAGGGGTAGATCCTACAATGGATGATCTCTCTAGTTCTGGAAACTTTACTGGGCAGGACCAAGGATTTTTTTCAAAGCAAAATGCTCTGTTTCTCAGTGTGTCACCTCGTGACTAGTATTGGCTTTTTAGCTCGCTAATCTATGAAAGGATTTTAGATAAAATAGCTACTCAGCAGGGACGTAGTTTGAAAAGATTTTAGGATGCGTGTTATACAGTTCTTCCACTTTCCCAGAAGCAAAGACTTTGCCTTTGCAAGGGAAAAGATTTCAATTTTTTTTTCCCTTGGTTTTTTTTTAGGTTCTGTATAATATGGCTGGTATTGGTATATATTCATGGATCTACAGTGATGTTTTGACTTGAGTTGATTTCCTTCTCACTTCTATAAGTAATGGAGTACAGTTCTCAGTTACTTTTACCAAGAGAGGGTAGGCAGTGCGCTTCCTTTTCTCTTGAATAGTTCCTCTGCTTTCCGAGTTGCCTTTACTTCCGTGGCTCTCACCCATGTTCTCTCCTAGACTTCCCTGCTGCTCATGCCAGTCTGCAGCACGTTTACTGTTTGGCACAATATTCCCTTCATGAAAAAAGCAAACAAACGCAAATGTGGTTAATTGTTAGTATGGTGCCTATCCTACGGTCCAGGGGGGTGGCTAGGACTATAGAACAAGCTATATCTTGACAAAGAAATGGAAGATGACTGTTCTGATGTGAAGGAGGCTTGGAAATGGCTTGGTTGTTATCCAGATAGCTTTGAAGAAAGCTAGTTGTTCTGAGAGAAATGCTAGTTTTGACCCTCCTTTGATCCAGCTACAAGAGGAGGAACTTGCAAATCTAGATTTAATGCAAGTCTTTTTTTTAATACTTGGGTTGTGTGGATATTGATCTATTCTAAATGCATAATTTGATGGGAAGAATGAAGTTTTGAAAAACTGCTGTCCCTCAGATTGATTGAGAGCTGCTAGTAGGCAAAGTGCAGTTCTTAATGGTCAAATAGCTCATATGGGACCATTGTGAGAATTCTGCTTTGAAGGAAAACTGATATTATGGATATTTCCTATTGTAGTTGGTATTTATGCTGTATATATATTTTCCTCTTTCCAAAAATCTGTGCTGAAATAGAAATGATAGATTTATAAGTCTGTCAGTTACCAGCAGCAGCTTTGACTCTCCCACTTTCCCCAGTATTACAATTGAATTGATTTCTTTTGGAGGTATTTCTTTTATTAGCATAGAAATTATTTCTGATGCTTGTTCTAAGTTCTGTGTTGTTTACAGTCTCTTGATGCACTTTTCCACAGGTAAACCATGGCAGTGATGCAGACAAAAAGATTTGTGTCATAGATGAGATTGGTAAAATGGAACTCTTCAGCCAGGCTTTTATTCAAGCTGTTCGTCAAACGCTGACTGGCTCAGGGACCGTGGTGCTTGGCACTATTCCAATACCTAAGGGAAAGCCGCTGGATCTTGTTGAAGAAATAAGAAGTAGGAAAGATGTTAAAGTGTTCAACGTGAGTAATATTTAATATCCTTAAAGAGCCTTCTGTTCTAGGTTGCTGGTTTGTATTTGGCTCTGTTTAAAAACTAATTGTTACTACCAATTGATAGCTGTGGGTAGCTTGTATGAAATAAGTTTTTTATTTTCCATTTTATTCTTAATGGGCAGGTGTTCACCTTATTAAAAAAAAAATCCCATTTGGCACTTACTGTAGCAGTCTCGCACAGCTGGCTTTGCTTGTGAGGGGCTGTAGAAGTAATGATATGGTTGTTTTAAAAGGTTTTCTTGCTGTAGTATTATTGCCGTGTAAGTATTCATTATTCCTAAGAGTTAAATCTTTTAAAGTATGGTCAGATTTTTATTTCCAGACTGGCTTGCAGAAATAGTACCAGTAATCATATTCAAGGAAAAAAAGAGGCAGCAGTGGAGTTTGCAGAAATTATTTCTAGAAGACAGACACTTGTAAATGGAGTATACTTTCTCTGGAGTCAGTGAATCAATTTTAGAATTCATTACATTATTTTCACAGACATAATTTTCAGAATAGTAGGGCTTCAGAGTGCATTTCTGATCAGTTACAGGGAGGTTCTCAAAAACATACCACAACAAAACATAGCCTGTTCACAGGAATACATGTGTGAGGTTTCCTTAACATCTGTAAGTGTCCTGGATGCTTCACGAAAACAAGCTAAATGCAGCCCCCACTCCTTTGATTTCTTTTTCTGCTCAGTGGGTACTATTTGTAGTAGAGAATAAAGCTGTGTATCCAAAACTGAACTGTGCATCTCCATAAATTATAAATTCAGTAAGTGGGACGTAAACATCCTGGCTTATTAACAGGGGTAATATGCTATAGAGCAGTATACTGTTGCAGCCTGTTCTTTATCAGATGCACGTCACGGTGAGAATGCTTACTTTGGTTTCATCCAAGTGAATGAGGAAGGAAAAAACACTTTCTCAACAACTTTATACTGAATGATCTTAATTAATGCAGAGAAAGCAAAGCCTCCATCTTCTTTTCCTCTTCAAAGTGAGATTAATAAAACTGCAGTGCTCGGAAAAGTTCCTCAGCTTTCTTTTAGTTGGTGATCCCATCATCATCTTCAATTTCTGTTTTTTAAATTAAATGCTTGTTTAATTAAGTGCTAAAGCAATCCTAGGAGCAAAGACGAGAGAAGATTCCTTTCCTCACGTAAGCATTCAACTCCTACCATTCCTTTCAGAAATAAAACCCCAGGTTTCCCACTGACAAGCTCATGTGTGTTAGTTGTCAGGCTACTGAACAGGGGTGCACGTGAATGTGAATTTTATGACTTGCTTTACAGTGGTAGGACTGGGGAAGAGGGAATGGAGAAGCCTCACTGAAAGTAACAGTCATTCAGTGCTTAGGCTGCAGTCGCAGCAAGGCAATAGTGTGCGTTTGGTCCTCTCAGGGGAGGAAGCAGAGTGCTAGAAAACAGCATTTGGCTTTTCAAGGAAGCTTTTGAGTCTTCCACTGTCTCTTTATCATGTGATGTTCTGAGAGCATGTGCCACTCAGCCCTGGGTTGTTAGCTGTATCAGTCTGCCGATACATCTTTCCCTTAAGTACTGACTACAGCCACAAAAAGTCTTCCTGTAAATTTCAATGGAGCAGTGTTTTCTCTAGCTAAAAAAAACTTTACTAAAAAAATGAGCCATCCTGTTTATGCTGCTGAGATTAGGACATGCAGGTTTCTTTGTTTAAATAGAGTTCTCTGGTGAATCCGTTAGCCAAAAGCATGGGTGTGAAATGTTTGACAGACTGCAAGAGTTCCCAGGTGGCAGAGACCTGCTGTGCTAAAGTCTTGTGCAGGAGAGCATCTGTCTCGCTTGCTCCAGTGACATACTACGTGCTCTTTCCCAGCTAGTTAAAACGTGTGCATGAGCAGGAACAGAACCTGCCCATGGGGAGTCAGAGGTGTTACTAGCTGAAGTAAATACTGGATCACCAACTATGTTCTTCAAGGGCTGCGGCATGGGGAGAACCTGGAGTGCCCAAATAGCTCATGGTCAGTAATTTCTTACTAACTTTTATGGTGCCTGGAAGTGTGCAGAAGTAGGTGGCTACCTTCCAAAAAAGTTCTGCCTGCTTTGTCACTTAATATGGAGTTAGGCTGCATTCAAGTAACTCAGCAGAGTTTTCTCATCCTTCTTAGTGTCGCAAGGACAGTTCTGATGTTTGACGCTAAGTGCATAGAGACAGCTGTCTGGGGTTTTACAGTCCCTTCTGTCTTGAAAGCATATTCAGTTGGTGTAAATGGGCCCAGATGCCCTAAAAGCAGTTGAGAACTTGGTCCCAAATGTTTAATTTAGTATGCTTAGAGCACTTAATGATAGGAGCTCTGATATTTAACATGTTTCTTTCCATTGTTGCCCAATTCCATTTTGCTGAGAACTAAACTTTCCAGTGAAACTACAGAGGGTCTTTTTGCACCTGGGTCTGTGTAGTTTTGCAGACACGGTGTCATAAATAGGATCAGATTGTCCTTAGCAGCTGGCACACATTAATTTTCTCCCATTTTCCCATCTATTAATTTTGCTTCCATGAAACCCATTAGTGAAGTTGGGTTGCATATGCCTTTTAAGAAAGAAAATAAATAGTTAAATGGATCAGAAGAAAAGGTTCCATTTGAACAGACTGTACAAAAGGGGTTTCCTTGACAGTACTTTAACGGTTAGGGGAAGAAAGCTTTTGTCCTCTACTGTTGCCCGCGTGGAGTCTAGGTGGTAGTTTCCTCCAAATTGCCTAAATGCTTCGTATAAGCAGCATTTACAGTTATTTTCAACTCCCTGTCTAAAAATCTACCCATCTGTTTGTACATTAAGTACAGATACTGGGAGATTTGTTCTTTCTGGGAAAGCTGCCTGCACTGAATGTCTCCAGATCTTAAGACGAAACTTATATCTATCAAGCAGCCTTTGTAAAACAGTTGTGAAAATTTTCCAGCATTTGGCACTTTCTCTTTGCTGCTCTCACTGGACTTCTGGCATGTAGGTATGGAAAACGGATAGATAAAATGTAGTATTGTTTTTGTTGGCTGTGAGACAGTGGGAAGAGCTATTAAATGTTCAGAAGGTCCTTTGAAAGTCAGGATATCAGGACACTTGCTGTGAGATTTAGAGTTTGGCTGATCTCTGCTCTGTGCCTTGTTTACGTTGGGGTCTCTCAATAGCCTTACTGAAGAGCAGTTCCATTCTTTGTTGTCTTGCTCTCTTTGTTATTGTGGGGTTTTCTGTTTCTCTTATAATAGGCTTGGAATGATACTCAATAAAAACAGCAACATTTTCAGGCAGATCTTCCCTTTCATCCCCCCCCCCCTTTTTTTTTTTTTAAATGTCACTTTTTCATCAGTCCCATGTTTTGATCTGCTGTCTTGAATTGAAGTGACATAGGTGAGACCACCGTCTCTAGGTTTTACAGTGTTGGTTTCCGGCGTTTGGATAGGATGTCTGTGACTGTAAATAGCAGTAGGCTCCTAGGGCCAAATTCCTCAGGTAGGACTGTCACCTATTTAAAAAAAAAAAACAAAACACAAAACCCCAAAAAACACGAACTTTCTCTGGTTCAGTATTGACTGTAGTACTGGAAGGGATACAAACCCTTGTGCTCAGATCTTAAATGCAGCTACAGGGAATGCAGTGAAACCTTGCTGGTAGAGAGTTTTATGCCATGCATAGTGTGGTGTCTCTCCTTCCTTGCCAAACAGCATTTCTCAAACTTTGTTAAAAATATGAATGCACTTACTTTTTTTTTTTTTGGCCCATCTGTCTTTGCCTGATTTCTTCCTGCCCTCTCTGCAGGGATCTGAACAGTGGGGAAAATTTCTTTGGCTTTTTAAGATGAGGCTTTTGCTGACGCTTCACAATTGCTTGTTAACCCTTTCACCACCCCAGCCATCTCCCCAGGTTTTGGTTGAGTTAGTAATGCATGGCACTGTGGGTCACTGGGCTCTGTATCAGGACCCAGTCTGTCAAGAAGGGGTAATTTACACCCCCCACCCCCTGCCAGGTCTGTGCTTCATCATTGCTGCACCTGGGAGCTGAGCTGACTAGCAAGTGCTAGCATTTGCTTGGCAGCTTACAGTAATCTGCACGTGCTGCAATGCAGATGGGCCCAGCAAAAGACAGGACGCTGGTCTATATGGATTTTCACATGCACTGGTCTTAAAGCCCAGCATTTCCATGGACTGGTCAACCAAAGGCATACCTCAGGGTGCTACAAAAGCCCCCCAGCTTTCTCAAGTAGTCTTATTTCTTTTTCAAGGTGTTTCTATCCTGCAATGCTAAGGTTTCTCAGAATATAGGCTTGCGCTGCTAAGCCTGTTTTAATTTGTTTCGTTGCAGATGGTTTTGACTAGGTCTGTCATCCTAATAAATACAACCCTTTCAAGTACTGAAGGTATAAGAACTCCACTTTATAGTAGGAAAATTATATTTGGTAATTGAAAAGGATTTCTAGTTAACGACAAAAGTACATGCTGGTTCTTTGAGTGATTCGTGTTAGTTATTTAAGCCCTGAATAGTACTGCAAAATACCACAGGTAATTAAATCAAAAAGATCACTGAATATTCAATTACAGATGCAGGTTTGTGGGTTTAGCTTATTGTGTTCTCAGCAGCAGCAGAAGGCAGGTGTTTGACACTCAACATTCCTCCACTGAGAAAGAAATGCATTTGAATTTCTGCTTTGTTTGTTTTTGAAGTAAACACTGATATAGAGGTTATTCATCAAATTACATCAGTTTTAATTTCTCTTTCTCTAGGTTAGTAAGGAAAACAGAAACAGCATTTTACAAGACATCTTGGCAGCTGTGGAATCCTGCAGAAAATGAAGACCTTTTCTTGCCTGTAAACACTAAAGCTTTTATTTTAACAAAACATTACAACATTTTGCAGATGTTTTAGAGTCTGTCCTTCCTGCTTTAGCCCCTGGAGGCTTTGCTGGAGCCTTCAGGGTAAGCAAGGTAAAGCTGGTAATACTCTAAAATGTGAAAACGAGACTAATACTCTAAAATGTGAAAACGAGACAGCGGAATTCTTGTTTATGCAGTTCACAAGCCGATCCATTCAAAAAATTGAACGGATGCGTAGTTAACATCCAGTTGTAATCTGGGTATTTGGAAGTTAGGTGATCTGACTCTGATCCTAGTTACACCATGTAAAAGCAATTACCTGTCAAATCTGTTTTGAGATCTTAGTCTTTCAGAGTGTGGTGTGGACTGTTCTGCCTAGAGAGCAATTCAGTGTCTGGAACTTAGCCCTGGTGTAACAGAACAGGACACTGCGCAAAATCTATGTGTGCTCTACCTGGTTCACATAGAAATATCTTTGCTGTTGGTGAGCCAGCTTAGGTGTTTCCAAGTGTGTTTCAGCATGGCTGCTGATGATTCATGAGGTAGGAAGGAATAAGCAGATGCTCTCCCCCTAACCCCAGACACTCCTCTCTCCAGTTGCAGTATAGAAGGGTTATCTAGAATTTCAAGGAAATTCCCTGTAGTCCCAAGTGATATTTACAGAATTCCACTTCAGAAGGAAAAATAACCAACTCTGCCCTCTCTTAACTGGCCCAGACAGTAGTTGATAAGAGGAATGCGTTTTGGATTTATTTTCAAGTTTCTGATGGCAATCCTGCCTCGTACCCCTTTAAAAAAAATTATATATATAAATCTTCAAGTCCATGAAGTTCAGTCAAATCTTGACTTGTGTTTTTCATGCGGAGTTTATTAAGTCAGGATCTACTTAATACTGCATTTGTCTATATGGGTTTTACAATCTGTTATGTTTGTTGATACTTTTTGTTTGGACGGGTTTTTCCCTTATTCAATTCTGTACGTGCTTAACGGTTAATGCTGAAATAAGAAGTGTTTGAGAGTATTAGACAATGTGTTTCCCTATGAGGTGTGCAAATGTATTCAGGAAAAGTGCTACCACTTAATCAGTTTTGCATGTTGTGAAAACAGAACTCCCTCCCAGGTGCACACTTGTTCATTGTATGATTTATAGTCATCTCTGGCTGTAAGAAGTTGTTAAGAATTCAGTTGTTTCTTAACTTTTTTTTGTCCAGTTCAACAACTGTTAAAATGAGCAAACTATTTAAAGGCGTTTTCAACTATCATTTTAGTTATTTATTTCTGTAAAACTGACACCCAAAGTTGTAGGGGGCTGGATGGGGACAGGCATTTTTACAGGTGCCCTGGAAACAGCTGGGAACATGGAGGGAATGTTCTTTCTCTTTCCTATATTCAGAACGAGGGTCTGGTACAAACATTGCCCCTCCACAGATGGTAGGAGGTACACACCGTGTTAAAGGATGCCATGACTGTTCCCTGACTGCCCCGTTACACTACCATTCTGCCCAAATCCATTTGGACGGTAGTATCGTCTTCATCATATTTGGGAAAAAGAGAATTCCTCTCAGCGTCCCCCTCCTTTAGGAACGTACAGCTCCTGGCTGCTTTTTGCAAAATAAGGCTGTGCCCTGAAGGTACCACTAACCCCTTATTTACTTCAGGCATCTTACTCAGACAAGACACCTTATTAGAGGTGAAGGACTTGGGACCAAAGTAAACTTTTTCAGGGCGATGTGCCATAGACTTTCGAACAGAAACCTCTCTGCGCTTAAGTGTTGGATGTCCTACTGTTTCAATGTTAAGTAAGTCTCTTAAGCTGTAAAATAACGCTGCAAAAGAATAGTTCTTTCAATGATTAAATAATTACCCAAAGTCTAGCAAGGTTTTAGTGGGACTGCAGTTGAGTCTTAAATGAGGACTAGCCTTTAAAGCTAAATAAAATGGAGGTATTTGACAGAGGCTGGGGAAGGGAGTTCCTTCAGGAGTGATGGCAGAGTTCAGTTTTCCAAATTCCAGTTCAGCCAGTATTGTCGGGAGTTCATCACTTAAAGCGGTATTTGTTCCTCGTAGAAGTAGATACATTGCCCTGCATATAGTGCCATGATGCCTACTGTAGTCCCACCATTTAATAGACTGGAAAAAAAGAAAAAGGAATCGTAACAACAAGTTTGGGGAACTTTAGACCAGTGCGCTTATAGTACTTCTAAGCGATTGTCTCATGGTGCAAGGAAGACCTTTTGTAGTGAGAGTAGTTAGTCACTGGAAGAACTTCCAACATGGAGGTGGATTTTTCCTTCACTGGAACTGAGTGAAGTATCAGCCCTTTTAAATCAAAGGGTATTTTTGCTACTGACATCAGTGGCTCTTGCTTTCTGCTACCTATCTCAAGATTGGTGAGAGTCTTTAATTTGTCGTTCTTTTTTTAAGCCCATCTTCTCTCTGAGCTAGAGTGCTTTTCAAGAGAAATAAAGAGAATTTTGGGGTG